CTGTATTTTTTTCGACAGCAAAAATACAGACAGTTTTAAAACCGGAAGGTGTTTTACTTGGGTTTGGTGAAAACCATGAAGTTGTATTACCTATGTATCGCAGGCATACTATGAAATCTATAATTCATAAAATGTATATTGCCAAAAGAATGAAATGTGATAAAAATAAGCGTGTACAAAACAATAGCAACATCTCGGCGCTCATAAATTGTGTACTGTAAAATAAAAATTGTCAAATAGGATTAACTAGTAATGTATCTTGTCAAGGACTACTTGAAGTAAAATATATGTAATTCTGTTGATGCACAGGTAAATCAGTACTTCTGTATTCGTGTTTTTGTTTTTATTGATGGTTTTTTGTCGCAAAGGAATTTTGGAAATGCACAAACTTCAAAGTAGGTACATATCAACGAAACTGTTTAGCGATCCACCTTAAAAGTTCAAAACAGGCACATCAATCCTTAAATCGATCCGGCTTCGAATTCCGGCCTTGCGGTTGCTTTCACACATCAACAACCAATCAGAAAACATATACACACATGACATCAGTGAACTAAGTCACGTACAGTCCCAGAGAAAAGCCCAGACAGACATTTCCCATCCGTGTTCATTCCTTCACCGATATTAGAATATCTTAAAAGTATACCCTTTTCTTGAATACAAGTATCGGCTTATTATTTTCAAAGGAAATAATAACCGATTACGCAATTCAGAAATTAAATCTCTTGACATCGAATACGAAATTCCAAGCAATCACACGCGATGGAAACGGATTTACCTAATCAATCACGTTTATCCTTGATTAAAGTCAAGCCTCACATTGATGAGTATTTTTTCCCATTTTTTAGGCTAAACGTACTCAGTACGCATAGCCTATTGCGACGGCCTTTCAGACAAAATTTACCGATCCTGGCCTTCTCATTGGCTGAAATATCGAAAAGAGTTAGAGCCCTCTAGCGGCAATTTTCGGTGTAAATATTGCCGCGATTTTTCAAATCGCTATTTTAAAAGCATCCAAAATTAGTTTATTTTTTTATAACAATACAATTACTATATATTTCAAACAAGAAGCACAGTGAACTATTGATAAATTTTGAACAATATTTTTTACGGAATTCTCGACATGACGTAATCGTACAGAACACTGTACGTGCGAGTTGGCGCCATGATAAGAAGCTAGTCTGGAGGCTTGGTTTGAATGATCAACTAACAGCACTTATAAACAAACAAAACTTACAAACAGAACATCAATTTTGCTTTAATCCTTGTCGTTGTGGCAAGATCGTCTGAATATATAACATCACTTTACCTCATTAGACGTCACAAAATTGGACTGCGCACACCCGCCGATATGACACTTTTCAAGTTTTTGAAGATAAAAAGTTTGCGCTTCGTAGGCAAGGTACATTTGGTGCTCATGGTTTATAAATGATGTATTTTAATACTGTACTGATCATGATGTTGACTTTGTTATAACTTATATTTTTTGCCTTTTAGTTTATTTGATGAAGGTTGATTGTGCTGATTTCTCAAGGTTTGTTAATGTGTATCAAAGTTCCTTGAAATGAAAATATCCCTTCAAACAAACCGCGTATAAAAACACCCCCAAAATATTCATGTTTATAATTATCAATTAACTAAAACGAAATATTTCCATAACATATTTATTCATTTAGCGTGTCATGGTGACATTATCTAATGCATTGGAGATCAGAAATAGTAGTAGCTATAGTGAAAATATTGTAATTTTTGTATATATATGGAAGTCTGGTTTAATCTCATAGAACTATGCCTTTATAGACATAATCACTGGAAGAAAAGTCTAACCATGATACTTCAAGGAAGATAGGCATGTAAATACATTTAATGTAATTACTTACACTTTTATGTATCTGAAATGCTGTGTATACCTTATCTACTTTCCTCAACTACAAATATAATTATAATAAGTAAGTACTATTACTTTGCAATACATTCAAAAATAAGAAGTAGGTATAAAGTCCTTTCGATTTGTCTAAATCCTCATATTGATAGGATAGTAATTGCAACTTTTCAATCTCCAGTTAGCTCACAATATCATGACCAATAACAAAGATTATATTATAATTAAACTATTGTCTGTAAAGTCATCAGTAATCTCAAGTTTCAAGTATTTTAAGATAATGTAATGTAATGCATTGTAATGTAATGTAAAGTCCAATCTGTGATGGTATTGTTATCTTATAGTATTGATGAAATTGTGTCCTATGGTAATACGTCTAATATAGTGTTGTATTGTTTCAGGTTTTCATCTATTTCTGAATAAATATGTATGAACTGAACCTGGCTGAGTTGGTGTCGTAGCGTCCTCTGCCCCAAATCCCATCCCCGTTTCAAATATATGGTTGTGTGTATTTTGTTATTATTTTTTTTACCTATTTTGATTTATTCACATTATTGTCGTCAAATTTGAAATAAGAATTAAAGAATTATTTTAGTAATTTCTGCATTCCAAAGTGTAGGAGTATGTGGAAAGTAATATAGCTTAGCGGTTATTTATGAACATTTTTCAACACGTTTAGCCTCTCAGTATTTTCAGTACTTTGATTAAAAGATGTCATTGCACGACAACTTCCTCTGTCATATTGTAATAATAAGAAACAAAATGCATTCATCTGTGCCGGTGTTGGCGGGAAATGATTATTTGAAAAATCGAATAAAATGTATGAAACAACTTTTAAGGTATTCCAACCCTAATGGACCACTTCCGGCTATAATCCCGACGAATGCGGATGTTTTATAGATCGTGAATTATCGGAAGTCAGAGTTGACGTTCGTGATCAGAGTTGTCGTTCGTGTGGAGCTCTTCTGTCATGTAGAGAAGATGTCATGGCGGCCCACACAAAAGTGGCGGTAGAATGCCAAGAGCGGGAACGGAACGCGAGGGGACAGTTTAAAAAAAAGGTTAAAAAAGCATACAGAACGATTATCCTTACTGCGTGAAAGACGAAGTTGTTTTGGATCCAGAGGTTGCCTCGCGTGAATCCTATAATCAGAGTTGGAAAGAGGGGCGCAGAATAATTGAATAAGGAGTTTTACTTTCCAATTTAAAGTTCTGTAAGGCTTTCCGTCTCGGGCCTGTAACTTTGACTTAACAAAATGTTGTGAGTGAATTACAAAAATGATTGAGCGGTTTCCTTTACGTCAGATGTGAAATCCCGGATTGTTCGCACATCAACAGAGTCCCATTCGGGAGCATACACAGAGTTGGTAACAGGAAAGAAATGCCTTGTTTCACGGCTAATACGAAGCTTGTAAATGGTAAGTACTAATAGTCAATTGCTTATATTAGAGGTGCACGACAATATCTACCATGGAATATTGATATATATTTAGGTAGACTCATTAACTTATTTTCCTTGCAGGCGTCAATACAGAACTAAAAAAAATGCATTTATGTAGCTACAGCTAATACACATTGACGCTGAAACATTTCTACTGCACTTTACATGTGGATGTTTTGTTGACGCTTTTTTTGTTTATGAGTTTATCATAATGCAGTTATAAATTCTGTAATTAAGCATTCCCAGCTAATATCAGAATAGCCTACATTACATCAAGATATCTATTTTAATTATTTGTATGATTAGCATCCTTGTCTCGAACTTGTGTAAACACTTCCCCAGAGGGGGAGGTGATGAGAACCATAACATCAATGATATTTATAATTGCATTGAAACAAACAAGGAATACCATTATCAAACTAAGCATCATCAGAACACCCTGTATGCATGTAATACATATAGGCACAAATGTGTTTTGCCAGTGTTTTCCTTGTTTTTGTAATACAGTTTAAATGTCATAGTTAGCGACCCTCACCCTCCCCACTGATACATTTCATAATACACTCATTGACATATATCTCCTCCTTTTTAATTCAGCAATGATTGATAACCTTGGTGGATCAGACAGGGTGAACAACTTTTTTTCTGTCCACAATATAAAACTATCGGCCAGAAGAATTTGAAAATCATGGAGAGAAGGGCTGGAGAATTGGTAGAGTCTGTCGCCAAATCTTTAGCAGAAAGAGCAGCTCAAGATTCTTTCCAACAAGAAATGAAGTAAGACTTAAATGCTTTGTTATAATTACATTTTTTTATGTGGGATCTTACATATTTGGAAACTAAAGGTTTTGAATTATAATCATATTTCATGAGATAATAATGACATACATATACACTTATATTCAAGACTTGAAGTCCTTGGAAACTATTGTACACTACAGTCAGTCAGTGGAGTATTTTAGCTCAGATGTTCATCGGCTTGGTTTTTTAACATGAACACGTCATTTTCAGCTCCTCACCCTCCACATATTTACTACCATAGGTAATTTGGTCATAACTAATGATTTATTTTTAGATATTTCAGAGACATAGGCAATGAAGAATTTGCTGAAGCACAGAAGGCAATGGGAGAGGAAGCTGACGGCTTAGGTGTTAGTTTTCTTGATGATGTCTCTCCACGTGTACAGTAAGTTTTTTCTCGTTATGATGTACTTTTACACAATACAACTCAATTCCTTTAATAATGTGAAGAAGTCAGTCAAGGCACATTATAGTGCAGGCTTTTTACATGTAGAACCAGCAACCATAAATTATTTTTTAATAATTCACTTCTATTTGACCCATAGTATTTAGATGTTATTAAATCAACAAAAAATGACATAAAGCGACAATATTTTATCCCAGTTTACAATATGGATAACTTAAATGATATTCCTCTTGACGAAATTACCTTTCGCATCAATGACCAGTTATTTTTAGAAACACTTATGATGGAACTCAGGGGTAAAACTATTTCTTTTTCAACTTATGAAAAAAGAAAGTCTAATGAAAGAGAGAGAATTTCAATGAATGAATTTAGGAACTTTGAGAAAACAGGGCCGGATACCATTTTTTTTTTACTGAACTTAGGGACAAAAAAAGACAGAATAAATAAGAAAACACAAAATTTCAGGCAATATGATACGCTCACGGGCAAAACGGATTGGTAAAGGAGAAAAACCCGCTAGATATTTCTGTGGTCTAGAGTCAAGAAATTATACTTGTAAAATTATTCCAAGTATTGACAAAGATGATGGAAAGGTAATTTCTAGTCCAACTGAAATTCTTAAAGAAACTGAAAATTATTATAAATCATTATATAAAGAAAATAGATCATTACAAAACGTTAACCCGGAGCTTCTTTTGGAATCCTACAATATAACCAAACAGTCTCTACAGGAATCTTTGAATATCGACCGTCCAATTACACTTATTGAATTATCAAATACTCTTTTGAAAATGAAAAATAATAAGCGCCCAGGTTCTGATGGTTTCACTGTTGAGTTTTTAAAAATGTTTTGGCAAAATTTAGGGCACTTTATTTTAAGATCACTTAACTATAGCTTCAGTATTTCAGAACTTTTAAATAACACAGAAACAAGGTATAATAACTTGTATTCCTAAAGGTAATAAACCACGTAATAAATTAACTAACTGGCGACCTATAACTTTATTGAACACTATCTACAAACTTGCTTCTGGTACAATTGCTGAGAGATTCAAAACTGTTATAAGTAAACTAGTAAGTAATAACCAAACCGGTTTTATTCCTGGCAGATATATCGGTGAAAATACACGGTTGATTTATGATGTAATGAAATGCATAGAACAATATTCCTGGCCTTTTACTTTTAATTCATTTCGAAAAGGCATTTGACTGTATCCTGGAATTTTAGTACAAAGACTTTGAATTTTTTAAAATTTGGCCCTTACATGATTAAATGGATTAAACTTTTTCAGAATAATAATAAATCAGCAATAAATTTAGGGGGGAATTTGTCAAACATTGAACGCGGTTGTCGTCAGGGGGATCCGGTTTCATCTTATATTTTTATTTTGTGTGCAGAGATTTAATCAATAATTTTAAGAAATAACTCTAACATCAAAGGAATCACTTTAAGAGAGAAAGAAAAACTAATTCTTTATTGTATCTATGGAATGGTAAACATGATAAAATCAAAAGAGATGTAATAATTAAAAAATATTTGGAAGGGGGCTTAAAATGATACATATTTAATCATACATTACTGCTTTAAAAGTAACCTGGAACAGAAGGATATATAACCATTCTGGAAATTGGGAAGTTTTTATAGAATCTTTTTTTGATAGACATAGATTAGCTAATATGAGAATAGAAAAGGTGAAAGAGCTGTCAAAATAAAGTGTGGTATAGCACTATTTTAGCGAGCAAAATTTATAAAACACATATTATAGAAGATCCAATTTGGTTTAATAGTGAAATAAAAGTTGAATGAAAACATGTCTTCAATAGGGTTTGGTATAATAATGGGATTCATACTATTAATGACTTCATTAAAGAGGATAAAACATTTTATAGTCTTTGTAACACAATGACTAAACACAGTGTTTACTTGGGTTGACCGAAATGTTTATTTCATCGTATAGTGGTTTTCCATAGTTAGTACTTCGCATTGATATCCATTACAAAAGATAGTTCCTAATCGACATACAGCAGCATGTCGTGGCACCAAAAATAACCACCTGTGTAAGGCAGACAAAAACTAAACACCTGCCCGTCCATATCAAAGAGTTTTATACAAATGTCCATGGGCCAACTTGGCCAGGGCCCGCTCCATCGCGGAGCAGGTCCTATACGGTACTCTGCCCGTCTCCACATCTCCACTCCCAACGCTCTCTAGCTACTCGATCCCAGATTCGACTAGACTTCTGCTGGCTATTGTCTTATTATAGATAATCAGGGTTTTCCATAATTTTGTTAGTAGTAGGCTGTGCAGTGAAAGTAGGAGTCTGGCCTGCCATATACGTGTAGTCGTGTATGGAACATTATTACGGAACTTGATTGGTGTCGGCGGCCAAATGATCAAAGTAGCCGGTCAAATTGGCCGGCGACCGGCTCTTATGGAAAACCCTGGATAATACCCAAAATACTTAATTTCAGCCTAGTCCCTATTGGACACCAATAACCCAGCCCCTGGAGCATCTAATTATGAAGGCACGTGCGAATAGGAGTACCCGTTATCAACTTCCCATCTTTGATCTACCTTATACATTGTTTCTTATCTTGTTTATTTACAAATACGTTCGCCAGCGCGAGACATACAAAAGAAAGCATCTATCTGTCCTGATCAATCATACTGGCGATATTCTGCCACAGTGCTTCAACACTGAGGTACACACTCCGCCCGTTATCAGGCGTGCATCACTACCTGTCAGCATTTTTAATCCACACTTTTACAATATTTTACAAATAGAAACCTTCATTCTAAATATCTGCTGTATACATGTTTATTAGGGGTGCAGGATACAACCGGTATTTCAATATATTCCAATAAGTATACTGGTGATATAATATCGCGATATTAATTTAAAATACCGGTATTTCAGGATGTTTGACACTTGCACAAAAACAACAAACATCTGAACTATTGTACCCGAAAATCACTTTCACATATAATTTCTTGAGCTACTAAGCTTTTTCTATGAAAAAAAAATTTCTTTAATAGGTAGGAGCTAAAGAAAAAGCCCCATTGTTTAAAACAAGTCTATTTGAAATATTGCCGGTTACTGTAATGACCAGACCCAGCTTCAACAATTAGATAATACTCTGAAATGGCAGTCAATGAAGATGGGTTTTTCTGTTGTCAAAAATGGCTGCCATTTGAGCAAATTTTGTATAATTTCACAATTGCAAGATGAAAATTCTTGCAATACCCAACCTTAATGGCTATAAATAGAACACTTTGAATTAAGCCAGGTCTGTGATGTATTTCAATACAAATGAGTACCCAAGTTGGGACACATCACACATTTCCTTAGTTTATGAAAATATAGGAGAAACCTTGTGATAATATTCTTCATTTTATGAATGTTAAGAGCTTTTCAAAGTGATTTTGGTTACTTCTGTCAAAAAATTATTTCATTTTTTCTTTTCGTTGATTTTAAAAAATGATAAATTTTTTGGGTTGTCACACAGTACTATTTCCCGAACTTTTTTTCTGTTTTCTTTATTTCTATTTTCAAACAGGGATTATAAGCCACATCGAGAGGCTTGGCTTTTACATCTTAGCTAACTCATTCAGTGTGACCCAAATTTTCACTTAAAATTATTTTCATTCACTTGTACTGCAAAATAAATATTCTGCACCAAAAAAAGTAAAAATGTTCCAGTTAGGATATATACCGTTCCATTTTGGGTAGCGTCACATTGGGGATTGGAAGAATGAGCTAGCTGATTTCACACACCACCTCCCATATGGTGGGGAGGGGGGTGGAAACTGACTACTGCACCAGGTTTCATTAATTACTATATAGTTTTGTATTAATTAGTTCTATTACTGTTGGGCACAAATACACATCTTTCTGGTAACATTTTAAAAATTAAATCTGCTGTTTTCTGATGGTTAAATAAAGGAATGACCTTTTGACATATTTAAGAGTACCTATACATGTACCTTCATGTTTTGCAGTATGAGACCAAGAAAAAAGTGCAGTTCACCATTGGATGTGGCAAAAGAATGGACATGTAAAGATCAGGACCCTCCAGGGTTTTGTATTGTGTCAGTTCGTCATAAAGGTATGTACTTATACATAGCTGCTGAATTCTGACAGTTTTCTGAACCTTAGCCCTAATGAATCTTAATCTTAATCAGCAGAGAAGCTTATTACAATGGTGCTTCATCTGCCATCTCTCATCCAAATTGGTCAACATTCTACAGATATATGGGACCTAAAAATCTTTAAAATGACAGGGATGTAAAAATCCACTAGCCAAATGCCCAGCGTTACCAAATTCTTGGCTTGGGCTAGTGAAAATTACAGGCTTACTAGCCCAGGGCTAGTGATATCCAGAATCAACATTTTCATTCAGGAAACACAAAAAAGAAATTATGTTAATTCCTATTGATGAAACTGTTTTCTTTCATCATCAACTTTATTAATTTTAATGGAAATATTTACTTATTTTTCTGTCAGAGCTTATTCATTCTTGACAGACGAATTGAAATTGACCAAGACATCCCTGTTTGGCAAAGTCCAATTATGCTGTAACTTTTCATACAAAAAATACTTCCATGTGTAATACTGACCATCAAAACAGCAGCATATGTCACCAATGAATGTATTTTATTTAATATATAAATTCCTGACGTGATCATTCAATAACCTGACTAAATTAGTTCATAAAATATTTAAATCACTACTGTTGTCATATCATATCTGTATCCCCCATCAGAAAAGGACCCGGATCACTTTTCCCACATCAGAAAAGGACCGGGATCACTTTTCCCACATCAGAAAAGGACCCGGATCACTTTTCCCACATCAGAAAAGGACCCGGATCACTTTTCCTCCATCAGTAAAGGACCGGGATCACTTTTCCCACATCAGAAAAGGACCCGGATCACTTTTCCTCCATCAGTAAAGGACTGGGATCACTTTTCCCACATCAGAAAAGGACCCGGATCACTTTTCCCACATCAGAAAAGGACCCGGGGATCACTTTTCCCCACATCAGAAAAGGATCCCCCTATAGTATTTTGATCCCCCATGTGAATTTTATTTTAAACTTTATAGCTTAATAAATGAAATGAGATATGATAGGTAACTGTGTCTTGGACTTGGTCACTGATACCTGTGTTACCTGTACAGGTTTGATTACATAACACCTGTCGAGCCTAGGCTGAAGAGGTCAAGCTCCAGATTACCCTGTACAGGTAGTGATTGACAGGGGCTTAAATGATGACTGCATACATAATTACTCTATATATAACCTGTCCCAAATATACTTCATGGAAAATAAGTTTATGGATTCAATGGATAATTTTTATATACATGTATGCATGTAGACTTCTGCATATATATGTGCAAAGGGAAAATTAACAGTTGACCTAAAAGGATATATTTTGATGAAAGAGAGATTTTAGGGTCAATCATTATAAACAAAGAGACGTACAATAAGAAGGTAGTATTTCTAAATTGAAAATAAGAAAATTAGTTACAATTAATGTCGAAATTATAAATACAAAGTTTACAAACAATATACAATTCTGAACATATATGCAGAGTGGGAAATTAACACTTAGTGATGCATATATAATTAGTTTATTCTAACATATTTATAAAACTTTGAGGTAAATATATATTTAATATAAGAAACCATTGTAGAACTTCTGAGGTAAAAAGGAAATAATTATTTACCAATAATGTACACTAAGACCCATTTTTATCAATTAAGTCACTTACAGGAAAGAAGTGCAACATACATGCATAGAATAAAACAAAATGATACCAATAGAGGGGTGGGAGGTGTAGGGGGAGAGGAGGGTCATTGTTACAGATATAATAACAATCAGAGAGATATAGGGGAGTATGATGAGATATAAAGGGGGATCAATATATGATAGCTATCAGAATAGTATCTAGTGGGGTATGATAAGATATAAAGGGGGATCAATATATGATAGCTATCAGAATAGTATCTAGGGGGTATGATGAGATATAAAGGGGGATCAATATATGATAGCTATCAGAATAGTATCTAGGGGGTATGATGAGATATAAACGGGGGATTAAAATAAAATTTAATCCCTAATGATCCAACACACATACATGTATAGCATGCATTGTTTTTTTTCAATTAGATAACTGTTAAGCAATTTATTTGCAAGTTTTAATATTCATGCAAATATGAATATATTTTAAAGTGGAAAATGTATATTAAACACAGCTTTTATGTAAAATGATGACCTCAATCAATCTGTAATGGAATTTATCCACAGGTAACTTTAATTGATCACTCAGTATACCTGACATGTGCACATGGGTGCTCACTCAGGTTTGACCCCTCTACCCTTAATCCTCTTGTGTAATTGACTGGTTGGCCAGGTGTAATTGACAACTTCACAGCTAACATAACACCTATCATCAAATTTTCTCACTATCACCTTAAATATATGCATTGTAAATATAACTTCTCTTAAGGGGGATCAAAATACTATAGGGGGGATCATTTTCTGATGGCCAGAGAAGTAATCTGGATCCTTTTCTGATGGGGATCAAAATATGATACGACATCATCCATGGACAAATAATTTCAAGATTCCGTGGAGAATGAACAAAAGACTAGCCTTCCATATTGCTAATATACCTTCGAAAAATTATTATGTAGATATATTCATTTCAATATTATTATTCTTCGATTAATTAGAAAAATTCCATCGAAGGCCGTGGTGTTAAAACCAGTAAACCCTTTAAAAAGGGTGATTTCCTTCTACATTATGCGAGAGAGCAAGTGTCTGGAGAGGAGGGTGACCGAAGGGAAGACCTTATCTCTTCTGGGTACAGATTTTTCTATAAATCTGGAGGAAAATGACTATGGTAAGGTCTTTCAAGGGACAATACTTCCTGCATGTGGCCTGTGGCCTTGGGAAATGCAGTAAGGCATGTTTACAACAAACTCGCTTACAACAAATTCATGGACATAACAAAGTGATTTTTAAGTCCCCTCAGGTTTCTTTTATATTAAAATCTAAAGTGTAGAACAAATTATACTTATAACAAACTAAAATAAAGTGTCCCCATAGATTGGTTATAACAGTGTTTTACTGTATCACCTTATCAGGTTGACAAATCTATATAAATATGTGTTTTACTTGTTAGAGTTTACATGACACCCATCAGAAGTTTCTCACCGTGTAATCCTCTAATATTGTTGGAGTAGTAGGATCCCAGGTGTACCAATTTTGTTTTGAGTTTTATGTCCTATGAATAATAATAGCGGAGGTCATTTAAGGATGTGCCATATGTTTTTGATTGAGGAAATCTGAAGTTCTCATGGAGAAAAAACACTGACCGTTGGTCAGTACCTGGCAGCTGCCCCATGTAGGTCACAAACCTGTGACTCAGAGATTGAAGGCTAGCTAGTGGTAGTACTGGGTTGTATAGCTTAACCACTTGGCTAAGGGCCATGCTCCCAAATAAACCACTGTCCTACAGAAAGAAACTGGTAGGTGTCCACACATTAATTGAAAATTTATAAGACAAAGGGATTCAGACCGAGGAGATGAACAAGAGGGGTTTTCTGGTCGATGACCTTGACCACTGAGCCATCACAGCCCTTTGGGAATTGCGGAATGTTTGGTTGTAAATGTATGTGTAATAGTGAAATACTTATTAGATCATGTCCTTAATATGTGTTTATTGCAATGTGAAGAATATTTTTACAGAGCCATAAGTAAGTCCTAATGAGTGTTTCCAGCATGGATGCCGCTGAAGAGACAGGGCAGCTAGGGAGATTGGTTAATCATGGGAGGAGGATGGAAATCAATTGTGCAATGAAACAGGTTAATAGAATGCTATGCCTCTTTTGTACAAGGTTAGTGCATTGAAATATAAAAGATTATTTTTATAAAATAGGTGGACAAGTTTGCTGCTGATTTTGACAGTATGCTGAGGGACGAGTGAAGGAAACACAACTTTCCTCCTGATGGTGGAGGTCTCCGGGTCAATAAATGCTGTGGTACTCAACAGAAAATTGATATTCTGTATATGTGGAATATGTCAGAAGAGATATTTTCATGAAATTGATATCACATCAAGGGGTGTTTACATGTCATAAACATTGTTTCTGTCCTTAGACTAGGAATCTATGCACTAGTTTTCCCTCAAAACCAATCGAGTGCTCTAAAAAAAAAAGTAACGAAAAAGTCCTTTTTGTTTGGTTGCAATTTCTAGGGAAAACACCCGGCTCCTAACTATAGATCCTGATAACCCTTGAACATATACATACATACATGTATAGATACTAGAAATCCCACAGTCATCTAACTTCCTGTGTTGAAGATAAGGGGAATACTGCAAACATCGCATTTAATATAATTCACTATTACCTATGTTTTCTTCTTTGCTCACTTTGGTTAAAGACTGAATGTTTAGCTCTGTTACTCAATCCCACAGCCATCAAACTTTATTTGTTGATCAAGAAGAATGCTGCAATTTTCTGATAAATATATCATAAGTGATTATTAGCTATATTTTTTTATTTCACTGACTTGGATTTAACTTTGCATATGGCTCTATCTGAACTTTTTTTTTTGGACATGAGGGCATATGCATGTTTTGCAAACATTTTCCAGTTCAATTCAAGTTAAGTTAATTCAGTTAAGTATTTTAGCCTGAAATTGGGCCCCATGTTTAAATTTTTTTTTCTCTCATATCCCGCCATATTGGATAGAGTTTGCCCATGTAAGATAGCTATGTAAGAAAATTCTATATTACATGGGCAAACATGTGTGCAGAGTAATCTGTGTTCAGGGGAGACAACTCTTACAGCGCCTTCTGCTTGTTTACATCGATCTGTCAGCTGTCATCTGTCATCGTCATGTCAACAAACAACATTCAATCGAGATTTAAAAAGTTAGATGTTCAGACATTTATATTATTTAAACAATCCTTGTTTGCTGGTTCTCACATTGAAAATTGCCAAATCACCGTAAATATCACCACAAATGTCCCACCACCCAAACGTCGTCGAATCATGGTGATCGAGAGCGAGAGCGACTCGGAATAGGAGATCGTGTGACGTCACGCCTTGAATTTATGAATGGAATTCCTTTAACTATGGTGATGTTATGTCAGCGTCACAGTATTTTGAAAAAATGTTAAAACAGTAAAAAGATGCATTGATATATTTCTTAAAATGATCAAATATGTGATTTTGATGATAAAACTATATGTTGAATTATAAAAATCCGTTCCTTGTTCACACAGAGATCATTTTTGGTTTTTTTCATCTGCGAATAATATATTCATCCTGCAATATACCAAAAAATGGTTTGAAATTTGACAACAAACTGAAAGTTTGCAAAATATTATGTGATCATTAAGAATATCCAGTTTGTTTTTTATAAAAACCTCGGATTAAGAAAATGGAAAAAATGAAGATAATGGCCGACAGACAGTCCTTTTCCCAAAATTTTGGTAAAGGTATGAGAGAAAAAGACTCTTTCATTATGTGTGTATGTAGGATAGGGATATTCCACCCTGGGGGTTACAAAATATGGTAAAACCCTCGGCTCTTCACCATATTTTATGATCCTCGGGTGGAATATCCCTATGCTACATACACGCATATGAGTTTTTTATTCTTTTTGACAACCACCTTACTTACAGGAAATTCAATTCCCTTAAGTTCTTCTTTTATTAAACTTCAAATATAAATGACATCTTTACAACACCAATGATGCTTATATATTTTCATGTCTTTGAATTCAGTAAAATTGGAAGCTATTATATATAACCCAGGTATTACAGTAAACATTCATTTGTGTGATATTTGGAAGTTACATATATGTTGATATAACTCTATGACAGCATCTTGTATTTTTTCAGGGATATTAGAGAAGGGGAAGAACTTTTATATAATTATGGGGTGAAGGACTTGCCATTGAAAAAGGTAAATTGGCATACCAACATCTTTTATCATGATTATGTAGTGCACCTCAATGCAGCACTCTGTCTGTATAAGGTATGCATGTCATGTGACACAGTATTTTGGAGAAAAAATCATGTCAGGGTACATTACCCAACATTAACCAAAAAAAAGCACAATTAAAACTGTTTGGTAATTAATCATTGGTAGGTGTAACTATGTAGTTAAATTTCAGAAATTATAAATTGTAGGTGAGCCTGTAATACTGAAAATGCTGATGCTTTGAGACAACTTTTAAACTAGTTAAATATTAGTCGGGCCTGGTGAGTGTGAACCCTAGCAAGAGTTACACACCCTATTGGAATATTGTTTTACACGAATTATGGTAGTAACAATTTGTTATCTTCACTTTACAGACACCATTTCTTACCTAATTGTCACGTTCTAGTTTCTATTTTGGTAAAAAAGGTTGTCTCTAATTACTTTAGATAGAATTTTTCCATCATAACTATTCAGACTTCATTTGTAATCTGATTGTCCCAAAGTTTCAAATACATGATCAGCATGAACAATTTTCATAGTTATCTCTTTCCATGATCAACAGGAATGTGAGGCTATTTGGATAAATATTTCTCAGGGGGAAACTTTTTATTACTTTAGAAGAATTATTTTGACTTTATGCAGGAACACCCATGTGGTAAGTGCTGGTAAAGTTTTGTTACTTTTGAGTGGATCCAACAAATTTTTCATTTTCTGTTCAAATTTGCTCTGAACTTTTTTCATGTAACTTAATTTGTTCATTAAATTTGTAACAACATTAATTGATAGGTTCACAACTAAAATTATATACAAGTATAGCACTTCACGAGGTCATTACATGAATATATCGACTGACGAGTTATCACAAGAAAGAAAATCAAATTTAGTTCCTTTCTATTTAATATCTTCGAATTTTTTCATTCTCAGAATGTGTTATTTAATGAAAAGTTGTGTGGTTAAAGCAAAATTAAGATATGCTACTTTAATTTTAACAGATATGAAAAAAATATTATGTCTATATACTAGTTGAATTTATCATATTGGATTTTCACTGGATTTTAAGAAAACTTGAGTATATGAAAAAAAAATTGCTTTTGTTGTTACATTGATTTTTTCCTTATTACAGTTCAGTAAGACTGAAACAAATCAAGTCTTTGCATACATATATTGCCATATTTGTTTACATATTTGAGACAAAGTGAAATATTGCGAAGCTAAAAATCAATCTTTTAGTACTGGTATATTTGATGTTTGTTGATATTCAAAGTTGAGGTTATAATGAAGCCTGTTTTTCTAATATAACTGTATGCACATGTTTGTGAATCAGGTAAAAACATTTTTATTAGTCATAGAGATGAAATCACTTTCCACTCACCTTCAGAGTTTGAACCCACCTAGAGAAACATTCCTGGTAATGATTGTCGTACAGTGGATTTTTTGCCCTAGTACAAGGAAATTGTCAGTTTCTTGTTGCAGATTGGATATTTACTCCAGGTACAAGAGTTTCGTCCAACTGGGACTGTCTATAAATTACCTTCATGTGTTAATTGGACATGGAACCCTAAAACATTCATCCATACTGTAAATGTGGTCTTTGGTAATATGATTTTGAAGGTTATTAATTCAGGAGTATTTAGCATTTTTGACCTGATTATGCTTGTTAGTCTCAAAACCCTCTAGCACTTTGACAGTCCACACTAGATTTACAGGAGTATCAGTACATGTTGTCACATTGTTGTGGTGCATTTTACTTCTGTATTTTATTCTTCAGGGGCTAATGCTACTGCCCACTACAGGGTCCACACTAGATGCTACTAGGTCCACTACAGGGTCCACTCTAGATGCTACTGTGTCCACTACAGGATCCACACTAGATGATACTGGGTCCACTACAGGGTCCACTCTAGATGATACTGGGTCCACTACAGGGTCCACACTAGATGATTATGGGTCCACTACAGGGTCCACTACAGGGTCCACACCAGATGCTACTGGGTCCATTACAGGGTCCACTCTATATGAGACTGGTTCCACTACAGGGTCCACACTAGATGATACTGGGTCCATTACAGGTTCCACACTAGATGATACTGGGTCCACTACAGGGTCCACACTAGATGCTACTGGGTCCACTACAGGGTCCACACTAGATGATACTGGGTCCATTACAGGGTCCACACCAGATGATACTGGGTCCACTACAAGGTCCACACTAGATGATACTGGGTCCACTACAGGGTCCACTACAGGGTCCACACTAGATGATACTGGGTCCATTACAGGGTCCTCACTAGATGATACTGGGTCCACTACAGGGTCCACACTAGATGATACTGGGTCCACTACAGGGTCCACACTAGATGATACTGGGTCCACTACAGGGTCCACACTAGATGATACTGGGTCCACTACAGGGTCCACACTAGATGATACTGGGTCCACTACAGGGTCCACTCTAGATGCTACCGTGTCCGCTACATGATCCACACCAGATGATACTGGGTCCACTACAGAGTCCACTACCAAGTCTACACTAGATGCTACTGGGTCCACTACAGGGTCCACACTAGATGATACTGGGTCCATTACACGGTCCACACCAGATGATGCTGGGTCCACTACAGAGTCCACACCAGATACTACTGGGGCCACTACAGGGTCCGCATTAGATGATACTGGGTCCACTACAGGGTCCACACTAGATGCTACTGGGTCCACTACAGTGTCCACTGTAAATGTTACTAGTTCCACTACAGGGTCCACACTAGATGCTACGAGGTCCACTGCAGGGTCCACTCTAGATGCTACTGGGTCCACTACAGGATCCACACCAGATGATACTGGGTCCACTACAGGGTCCACTCTAAATGCTACTGTGTCCACTACAGGATCCACACCAGATGATACTGTATCCACTACAGGGTCCACTCTAGATGATACTTGGTCCACTACAGGGTCCACACCAGTTGCTACTGGGGCCACTACAAGGTCCACACTAGATGATACTGGGTCCACTACAGGGTCCACACCAGATGATACTGGGTCCACTACAGGGTCCACACTAGATGATACTGGGTCCACTACAGGGTCCACACCAGATGATACTGGGTCCACTACAGGGTCCACTCTAGATGATACTTGGTCAACTACAGGGTCCACACTAGATGATACTGGGTCCATTACAGGTTCCACACCAGATGATACTTTGTCCACTACAAGGTCCACACTAGATGATACTGGGTCCACTACAGGGTCCACACTAGATGCTACTGGGTCCACTACAGGGTCCACACTAGATGCTACGAGGTCCACTGCAGGGTCCACTCTAGATGCTGCTGTGTCCACTACAGGATCCACACCAGATGATACTGGGTCCACTACAGGGTCCACTGTAGATGATACTGGGTCCACTACAGGGTCCACACCAGATGATACTGGGTCCACTATAGGGTCCACTCTAGATGATACTAGGTCTACTACAGGCACCACATCAGATGATACTGGGTCCACTACAGGGTACACTAGATGCTACTGGGTCCACTACAGGGTCCAAACCAGATGATACTTGTCCCACTACAGGGTCCACACCAGATGATACTGGGTCCACTACAAGGTCCACACTAGATGATACTGGGTCCACTACAGGGTCCACACTAGATGATACTGGGTTCATTCCAGGGTCCACACTACTTGCTAACGTGTCCATCACTTGGTCAACTACAGGGTCCACACCAGATGATACTGGGTCCACTACAAGGTCCACACTAGATGCTACTTGGTCAATTATAGGGTCCGAACTAGATGATGCTGGGTCCACTACAGGGTCCACACCAGATGATACTGGGTCCATTACAGGGTCCAGATCAGATGCTGCCGTGTCCGCTACAGGATCCACACCAGATGATACTGGGTCCACTACAGGGTCCACACTAGATGATACTGGGTCCACTACAGGGTCCATTCTAGATGATACTGGGTCCACTACAGGGTCCACACCAGATGATACTGGGTCCACTACAGGGTCCACTACAGGGTCCACACTAGATGATACTGGGTCCACTACAGGGTCCACACTAGATGATACTGGGTCCACTACAGGGTCCACACTAGATGCTACTGGGTCAATTACAGGGTCCACTCTAGATGATGCTTGGTCCACTACAGATGATACTGGGTCCACTACAGGGTCCATTCTAGATGATACTGGGTCCACTACAGGGTCCACACTAGATGCTACTGGGTCCATTACAGGGTCCGCACTAGATGATACTGGGTCCACTACAGGGTCCACACTAGATGCTACTGGGTCCACTACAGGGTCCACACTAGATGATACTGGGTCCACTGCAGGGTCCACTACAGGGTCCACACTAGATGCTACTGGGTCCACTACAGGGTCCACACTAGATGATACTGGGTCCACTACAGGGTCCACACTAGATGCTACTGGGTCCACTACAGGGTCCACACCAGATGATACTGGGTCCACTACAATGTCCACACTAGATGATACTGGGTCCACTACAGGGTCCACACTAGATGATACTGGGTCCACTACAGGGTCCACACTAGATGATACTGGGTCCACTACAGGGTCCACACTAGATGATACTGGGTCCACTACAGGGTCCACACTAGATGCTACTTGGTCAATTATAGGGTCCAAACCAGATGATACTTGTCCCACTACAGGGTCCACACCAGATGATACTGGGTCCACTACAGGGTCCACTACAGGGTCCACACTAGATGATACTGGGTCCATTACAGGGTCCTCACTAGATGATACTGGGTCCACTACAGGGTCCACACTAGATGATACTGGGTCCACTACAGGGTCCACACTAGATGCTACTGGGTCCACTACAGGGTCCACAGCAGATGCTACCGTGTCCATTACAGGGTCCACACCAGATGCTGCCATGCCCACTACAGGGTCCACACTAGATGCTACTAGGTCCACTACAGGGTCCACACTAGATGCT